CCCCCACACACACACACACACAAACACACACAAACAAACATCCCCCTCCAAACACACACATACTCAAACACACAAAAAGGCACGAAACAATGGATAATAAACTACAATTAATAACAACATACTATTAATTCCACCACACTACTCACTTTGTGAAAGGGCTCAGGCGAGTGCTGGAAACTGAGCAGCATCTGTGACAGGATACAGAAGGAGGCGGACCTCAGCTGAGGGTACGCCATGTTCTCCGCCACCTGGAAATATTTTAATTTTACATTTTAATTAAAAGTTTTCAGTCAGGAGTATTACGGCAATTGCAACACTTAATTAGGTCATATAAGTGCAGAAGATTAGACGTGTTGCAAGAGAATAATAAACGAATTTAAAAAAAATTAAAAACGGGAATTTTAGTAAGCGTTTTGTACGGCACTTGCAATACAATAAAGTTAAATAAGTGCCGACGATTAGAGGTGTTACAAGAGAGTGACAAACACAAAAAAGAAGGACCAGAGATGTTTGATAGGAAAGAAGAAGCAAACATCCCCAAAGCACCCACCATCCACTCAGATTCATATTTCTACTAGGTTTTATGCGTATTGATTATTACATGTAATTTCACTGGACACTGCTAAACATGACCAGGACAATGGGATACAAAAAAGTGGCCTGAAGTCTCTGTCTTCTTCTGTTTATACACGTTTTAGTTTAACTAAGTTTTAATTTTAGTAGAGGTTTTACGGCGCTCGCAACTGCATTAGGTCATATGAGCGCCAGAAGATTAGAGGTGTTACAAGAGAGTAACAAACATAAAAAAAGAAGAAGAAAGGGAGATAAAGACGATAGATGTTTGATAGGAAAGAAGAAGCAAACCACACCAGAGCACCCGCCAACCACCCACAAACGTCAACACAGCAGTGAAGGGTTTAATAATGCACATGCCAATTTCTACTAGTTTGAGACAAGTCAATGTATTGATTAATATATAATATCACTGCAGAAGGTGACTCATCCAAGGGATACAAAATCAGCTGCGCGTTCTTTCTGTCTTTTCCTCTTACACGAGCCCTTGAAAGAAAACGCGTGGGTGCAGAGGAACGCACGGCGTTTAATTAGAATAAAATTACAAATGCACAGGGGGCGCGCAGTAGGTTTATGATAAGGACTTGTCGTTTCTACTATTTGTGGGCACGAAAACGAATAAGAATTGTACACGTTTTAAGTTTTACAAGAAGTTTTAGGACACTTTTACGTCATAACTATATTAATGCCGAAGATTAGAGGCGTTTAGTGCCACTACAGAGTAATATACCAATAACAAATTATGAGGTGGAGATAAGGAAGATAGATTTTTAAAAACAAACAAAAACAAACAAAAACAAAACAAAAGACAAGACAAAATCGATCCAGTCCTCTTTGTTGTTGTTGTTGTTGTTATTATTGTTCCAGGACAAGACAAAATAACAACATCAAAGCAATAACAAAAACAAAAAAACAACAACCGCAATTGCGAATATTATATCACGGTTTAAAAGGACCTAAAGACTTGATTGTATTTATAGAAACGTTAAATATAAAGACAGGAGCAACAGGAGAGGGCCCATCAATCACTCTTGTGGAAATTGCACAAAAAGGTCCCAATTGAGATAAATAGTGGTGAAGGTTACATTGTCAGGACATGGGGAAAAAGGAGGCAGTAGGAGCAGTAAACACATGAATGGGGGGGGG